ATATATATATATATATATATATATATATATATATATATATACGAAAGCAGTGGAAGTGCCAGTTACGCAGAGAAACAGTTGCACCTCACTCTCCCTTCGTATTGACAGAACTCCCTACAACTTTCCCCTACTTTATCAGGCTGTGCGTAGCCTTGTGTTATTACGTCAGTTTCAATTTGGGGTCACCCGTTGCTAAGCTTCCGTCCGTTTAAGCGCCGTTTCCTTCGGAGGAACTCGAGTGGGTGCCAGAACAACTATCCATCCTTACGAAGCTCGCTTACTCCAGTCAGTGTGGAGAAAGTCAACCTTATTGTCTCGAAATCTGGCTCATCCTCGACACTTGTTTCTCACTAGAGCTTTCATATGCGCCGGTTTAGCTGGTTCTACGGTGCTACTATGCCCTCGACTGTTCCTGATTGAACAGTGACACTAACCGGGCCATTGGTGACCGCACTTGAACTTTGTCTGGCCATACAACGCACAGAAACTAGCCAATTTTAGCTTCTAATTCGGATGCAGATTACCGAGCACACTTTCACAAAAGCGAACCAAGTACAGTTTGAGACAACATCGAACTTACTGACCAACTACAAGTAGTATTATTTTGTTTACGGTATAGCTCCCACGTAAAGTTTGCCGGAACAAATCTATTGCATTTGTGCAGTGCAAGTGTGCACACGCAATCGGATGAAGAAAATGAGCGTCACCACTCGTAACCATGGTCACGTAATGCGTACAAAACGGTTAGTTACCGTCTATTTCAACTGACGGTTCGAACCGCCAACACGCCGCCAGTGAAATTCAGACGTTCAAATGGGATTTCGTCCTGTCAGTTGAACCAGTCTATTCCGAGAAGTACGGTGCAGCTGTTTCATCCCTATTGAAAATTATCAGCAGTGCGCATCTCACGAAAATCAGAGGATTTTGAACTCACAACCATCCGCCCAGTGGTTGATCAATTAACCGTTCAACCACGAGTGGCTGAACAGCCGTGTGATTAGCTCTGGGTGATCTATGCTGTCTATGAGGCTGTGGAGACTCACAGCACCGTTGGTTTTATTCTGTTCGAAACTGTTCGGATAAGCGAATTCCCCACATTTTTATCAGTCGCAGTTCGAACCTGAACAGCAAAATACTCGGATAAACAGCCTTAGGTTATCGTTTTAGACTTTGAATTAATATCCCTAGATCTTTGGGAACGTGCGACGCGATATTTACTCAATTCAGTATGCGTATGCATTAATTCAATTCGTTAGGTGATCGTCTCACACAAGTTCACTCTTGCGGACGGATGCACGGATCCAAATTCAGGATGAAATACTACACTTCCTGCTCGAGAAGAATAACTAATTCATGCTCTGCCAATCGCCTACCAGAAAGTGGTATTATGACAACCAACAAGACTAAACTAATCTGTCGTAAAATTTTTACACTTGCAGCGCACCTTGCTGCAGCATTCGCCTATTCGCAGCCAATTCGGACGCATCAACGTGGAACTCATTGGCTAATGAGCAACACGTAGTGTTCTAGTAGAGTAATAAATACTTGCAGTCCAGACATGCATCCAGTGAGCAGAAATATCTATCAATATTATCTGGACTTTGAAAGCAGTTTATCGTCGGTTCCCCTCGAAGGGCTACTTGATGCCAACTTCCTCCATCCGACATCACCATAAGGAATACAAAGGAATGGCCTGATTTGCCAAAAGGCCAATCGCATTCTACATATTCTTCTTGAATTTCAGTGGAATCGTACAATATCCGAACTCAGTACCAATGTTTATTTCAACAATTACCTTCTGAGTGCGGCACGAATGTCATTCGTCCTCGTTATAATCGGCTCCTTCTATATGAGCAAAAGTGTGGAGGGTGCTGGTATAACGAATTTGACCAAGTGGCAGATCCTTCTTCCAAACTACCAATAAACTTTCCCCTTCAGAAATGGGAAACGCGTATCCGACTACTGAATCTACAAGCAAGAAGGTGGTTATCAACAGACGGGTAACGTTTAACTCACTAGACTTTTTTAGGACTTTGTTACTAGTTTTCTTGGTTTTCAGCAACCTGGTAACGATGATTCTTACTCCGAATGTGATGCAGTCGGTCGTTGGCCTGCTCGCAGAGACATTGCCAGTTTGCAGTCATGTGGACGACTCCACCTCTCTTGTTTGCATTTGTATGTCAGTCGAAAACGGCTCAGTTCTCGAACATAAACAGTTAATTGTGATTCCCGTTCTCTGGTTGCTTGTCGGTCAACTTTTGATCCCTTCTGTGTTGTGGTACGTTGTGGTTTGAGTCCCTTACGTATGCTTTGGCTGGTGTTGTCAACTTTGTTGGAACGCACCATGACATTGACCACTTCCCCCTTAGTGTGTTCGGACTGCAGAACGGTTATCTTAGTCGTATGTCTTGCTCTATCCCAGTCGCCAGCTCAGTGTTAACCGATTCCGTGGGTGTGGTATCGTCCAAACTTCTGATGAAGCTTGATGAAATCATCCGCGGGAGATTGTCTTTTGCCGTGTCAAAACAATCCGAACAGTATAAGCAAGAGTGGCGCTAAAAATAAGCTGTGGTCGCTGGACTGACACCGTCCCATGCAATTTTACACAACTGTATGGAACAGCAAAACTCTATTTCTATTGTTTTGGTAATAGCCAGACCGTATGGCTTTCCTTGGGACAGTCTTTTAAAACAGCAGTTACAATGGGTTATAACACAATTATCCAGTGACAGAACTGACACGGTCGTATTGGCACTCTATGGTGGTATTGGACAAAAAGAGTGATAGCTCGTAGCTCGGATTCTGTGCAACGGCAATTTCATGTCCGTTAGCCTTCCCCATGTCGGTGTGAAGGTGGAATAATAACTCAAAGCTTCTTCGGCAGCCCGACACAGCAGGTATAGCTCTGATTCAATTACCCAAAGAGAAGTTTTTTACGATGTTAATGGTGGGAAATAATTATCTTTCCATCCAAATTGCAGACTAGACTGATTGTATTACGCATTTTCAGTTTGTTCCAAACCCTAAAGAGGTTTTTTACAGTGAATGAAAATGGCGTCACCAGCTGGCTCATTTGTACGGTGCCGTTTCATCTCTGTTGTGGACTTAGGTTCTAGTGCTAAGCTTGGTTGTTGAATCCATCAAAGCTTCTATATCACTTCAGTCATCCTACTTCTCCCGAAAGTTGGCCATTTCGAAGGAAATTTTGTGACATTACTTTTAGATATGCAAACAGTTGCTGTTGTTTTTAAAGTTTTTATTGATCTTAAAATCCCTAACAAGTGTCAGAAAATGGCTATTCATGTTGTCAAAAAACTGAGTTCTACCTTTTCTCTCAAGGTCGCGGGTGAAGCGTGCAATGCATGCAATAACCTACTTTTATATCACAGGATACCATCCTCCTTATCGCTCAGCCTTCAGCAGTCTGGAACAGGCACTTTGTTTGCCGTAGAACTTCGTCTGGCGTAAAAACAGGTCTCACACCCTTACTCAAAAGCAACTGACTCGCGCACGCCTTTTGACGTTAAAGACACCATGATGGTTACCGCGAGACAACACAGCAGCTGATCATACTATCTAAATGTGCCTCAGTCCATGAAATATGCAGCCGCGTGGACATCTCTTTGAACCATATCATTGTTCACTTTTACGATGCGCTTACTGTACTCATTGAATTCCCAGGATTTGGTTGCGCATGTAGAGTCACATGAAAGATATCGTGTTTCAAAGCTATGCTTGAAGAACAGATGGCCAAAGACAGCGGATCGTTGGTCGTGTTCCCTTAATAGCACCGCACCGTCAGAATGTGTAATTGTCCGATTGCATATGAGTATTTATGGCGAGCGACCAATCGACGGTAATTTCTGGACAGTGAGACGAAACCCTCGCTGACGGTCGCAAAGTGTAAATTACTTCTTGGACACCTTGAGCATGTTTGATGTATTCAGTAGTACAACTGATGGGTTGTTAACATTCTTCAACCTTTCGTCAGTCATCCATGCAAAACATTTAGCGATTCTGCACATGGTAGTGACAGCCAGAAATGTGTGAAAAAGACACTAAAAAGAGCAAGGGGGTTGACTGCCAAAAAAGAGCGATGTTTCAAGTCACTACCATGAGCTTAGGTAGAGCTGTCTCAGCCTAATAATCGTTGCCTTACTGAATGCTAGCACTCAAGTTGTTTGGTTGAATGTCATCAAGTTCCTTTTTATTGCTTTCACCATGTACAGAGACCATAAATGCGTGCTTTACGTAGACAATTGGCGAATTCTGAAGAGATTTCAACACCTCAACAGTAGTGCATCCTCTTGCTTCTGATAGAAACTGATAGTTTGTTGCTGAAATTTTTCACGTATTTCTTTTCGACAAGACCGGCCGATTCCAGTGTTGAGTTGGGGTGCAAAAAGATAGGAGGTTAAAGACGCGGGGCACGGAAGCATATAGTATTATGTGAACACAGGTAGACGGATCGACAATCCGTAAATAATGGCCTAAGATTAAAACAGATGACAGACACCATTCAGGAAACCGAATCACAGTTATGTTACCGACACTTCAACTAAGACAATTCTCACGTTGGACCGTTTGGTTACAACCATGCCTGCTAAATAAGCTGTTTCATCTCCAGCCTGTTGTAGAATCCACTGTCAGAGACTCGAACACGTCCCTAGTTCTCAGCCTCGAACATTTCGGCACGCTACAAAAAATCGGTTCATCTTCGATCACTGCAAACGCTTGCGATAAAATCGCCTGCCTGCTCAGCATGTAACTGGATTATGGAAAATGTTTCAGCCGATTTTGCCTTACTTTCAAAGGGCTTCATTTGTAAGTCAGGTCAGCAGATAATACGGTTAATGGGGGAGTGTTACGTCGTCGATATTTCAACGAAGCATTAAAAACGTCGTAGACGATGTGATGCAGTTCTGAGATTGCTTGTGCATCGGTCGCATTTACACAGTCAAGGAAACGGTTCAGCTCTCGGACTGATCAAAGCTCGCCTCTATTATCGACACCAATGAGTTAACGGTAACGCTACTGCCACTCAACAACCATAGCGTCGATTTTGGCCTCTACGTCTGTCGTAGTAAACAAAAGTTTTTCACACATTACACATTATACTATATATACATACACACCAGTGTATATTATGTATCACATTATATCACACAATAATGCATTATTCTACATTGTATTACTGCTTCAGTACTACTCAGAGAATTTCTAAGTTATCCTAAAACCAGTAAGATGTGAGACTATTTTTCAAACAGGGTTAAGAAAAAGGATTCGAAATACTTTTGGGTATCAGTTAAAAAACGATTATACATGCCCCTAATCCTACAATTCCTTCAATACTGATTCTATTAGCGTTTTACTGTTGGTATCCTGAGCTGGTCCTGGTGATCTCTGAACAACGCTAAGCTGCAGTTGAAATTCCGTCCAATAGGTAATCGCACAATATGATAACAAGAGTCGTCAAGAGAAATTTGATTACATGGAGTGCCCTACACAAATTTTATGATTCTTACAATTTTTGCAGATACTAATCAAGCGAACATGATTCACATAATGACTTTTTTAAGTAAGAGGCAGATTGCTTAAATTCTAGTAAAGGATACTTTCCTGCACGTCTAACGCTTTCACTGATGCTTCCCTTCGAATCATGAAACTAATCATAGTTGTTCCTCGTTTTTGTGATATGTTGACGACATCGACCATTGCCAAAAAACATGCTGTAAGTATTTTCGGGAGTTGCAGAATGTGCATTCGCACCTTCTTCTGTATTGGTATAATTATTCTAATGAATTCACACCAAAGTGAGGAGGCACTGGAGTCGAAATTTGCTCTTATTAGAATTCATCGGTAGCGCATATCCTTGGTCGTAGCGGAATTCGAACCCCCAAAAGTGCTGTACTCCTTATAAAACAACCCCTCTACCATCTAATTCAATGTCCACTGTCCACCCTTGCATTTATTTTTTGGTGAAACTGAGGAAAGAATATCGTGCATCCAATGTAACGGCTGTTAATTTAGCAGCAATCACGTGTTCCGCTCCGCTGTATCCAAAATCGATAAGTTGTCGGTTGTAAAATTCAGCATGCCTACAGTTGAGTGTTGCCTTACATCAGGCTCATCTGATTAAATTCATTTCGTGCACAACCGCGAAATCCGCGTCTCCGAATGTGGTACCTCCAAAGTTGAACTGTGTGAACACCAATAGTATCGAATCAAGTATTTCTACTCGTCACATGCGTAGAAATTGCATGTCTAACCTAAACATCTATCGAGCCTTAGACATTTTGCGTTGCGCAACCTTTTTCGAGCGAACAAACAGTAGCCGCATTTTTAACCTCATAATATCTCTTAAACGCTTAGGTAACGTCCCGATACTTGGATGAGATTTTTGGCCCACCCGAACTTCTTTACCAGTTCTAGTCCTCTCCAGCCATGCACTGCAATTTTTAATTCACTCACGTTTTCTGTGTGGATATCGCACGAAAGCTGACAGAGTAAGCGTCGGTTCACAGTATAGATACTTATGTTCGGAAGATTCACGTAGGATTTGTCAAGTTGTAACTGGCCATAAATTAGAACCGATACTTGGATGAGATTTTTGGCCCACCCGAACTTCTTTACCAGTTCTAGTCCTCTCCAGCCATGCACTGCAATTTTTAATTCACTCACGTTTTCTATGTGGATATCGCACGAAAGCTGACAGAGTAAGCGTCGGTTCACAGTATAGATACTTATGTTCGGAAGATTCACGTAGGATTTGTCAAGTTGTAACTGGCCATAAATTAGAAGAGGAGCCGTAGGCGCTTGGTAACAAGCATAGACTTGAGTGCCGCACAGAGGCCGGGTTTTAGTACGAATACAGCTGTCCATAATTTCCAGCAGAAATCGACAGGATAATCAATGTAAAGCGCGAGCATAACGTATTAATTGTTCGAGTGATTTCCCAACCATGGTAGTTCGGGAAAATTGGCATCATTTCCTACTTCCGCCACTTGCATTGGACTCTTTTATTTCCTTTTGACGGAACACAAACTCACCATTGCGCCCAACTACCTGAATGCCACGCATTTGAATGTGGAATCATTGAGAGTTGTGCTGGTGCGCACCAACTTGTGCCAAGACGGTCGAATAAAACAATTCAAAATGCTTGAAAAGTTCAACCA